AGAGGGAGAGGGAGAGGGAGAGGGAGAGGGGGAGAGAGAGAGAGAGAGAGAGAGAGAGAGAGAGAGAGAGAGAGACCGATTGCCTTGAGGGCTGAATCCTTTGAGCTTTACGCTTTGCTTTGCTATTTTTGTGGTGAGATCTTGAATGTTTTCTGATTTTTTGTGTATTGAAGATTATAGACACGTGCACGGCTAAACCGTACGTTTAGCCGGCGACGAGTTTTCATTGCCGTTATCGGGCGAATGTCTTTCTGCCTAGTATCCTATAAAGAACGATAGTGCCGTTAATATTTATATTTTTGAGTTTCCGATTTTGCGCTTTTCTGTATGATTTGGTGTTTGCGATTCTTTTGTAATTAATGAACTTTCTGTAATCTTGGCCTAGTGTACACGTATGAATCTGCCTACACGCATGTTTGACCCCGGATCAACCGGCTTGGTTGTGCTAGAGCCAGATTCTCGCACGGCCGATTATATTCTTATGCCGATTAATATAAGATATCGTTTGCCGACAAATTATTATTCGTTTTCTGTAATATCATTGTGAGACTTTCGAACCCTAAGTTTGGTTAAATTTAGTGGCGAGCCCACGCGTCTGTCTTTTGCGTACTCTTATGTTCCTCTTTCGAATTGAAATACGTTAAATAGAATTCTTTTCTTGGTTTTGCTAAACTTTCGTTGACCTTGCTGAAGTGTAATTCCGAATTTAATATTTCTATTTTTGTGTGCGATATCTTCCGTTCTGATTTATGTGATTTCTTGCTGATGTGCCGTATCTGATTATAGTTGCCGAACATTATTGTAATTTCATCGTTATATTCTCTGTGAAACCTTTGTGAATTTTGCGTATCGCACACGTCCTTCCGACGTTGCGTGCCAGCCGCCCTCCGACGCGACCTTACTTGACGTTCCTCGACGTCGCGCCTTCGGCCGACTTCGAAATTATACTACCCGTGCCGAGAACGTCTTACCGTGGCAACGATAATGAAATACTTGTTATAATATTCTATATTTTTTTGACTGTGATATATTTTTCTGTGCCATATCTCATATTGATTTACTGCGATATCTCTATTTATTGTGCTACTTTTCGTGTCCGTGATTTTCGAACTGGTGTTGGCGAACCCGCGTGTATCAAGAGACGCGGTAGCGTCTCGACGCCAAGTATAAAAGAAAAAATGGGCCTCCTCACGAGGCGCTACCGCTACTCTTATTGACGCCAAGTTGGCGTTTTTTCGTCTGCTACGATGAAATAACTTGAATTATCTACGGGTATATGTCGTGGGCGAAAAATGTGTCAGGTCCAATATTTTTTATTTTTTTTTTTCCTTTACAATGAGCCTTTGCCCAATAAAATCGGTTCCCGCAATGCTGATATCTGGCATTTTAGCAATATCAGTCGAAAAATTTTTCTCAATTTCTCCCCTTTCACACAATCTTAAAAAATTTGTCCCCTCGCATATACGTATGAGCTTCGACGCGACACAGGCATAACGATTCGAGACGCACATGTGCAACGAGCCATTGAACACGTGTAGTCTTCTGTTTATATGGCCCCAGCTGTTGGCTACTATCTTAACCTGTCTCTTCATGAAAAAGTTCAGTCATTTCATGATTTGATTGTTTCATTACCGCTTTACCGGTTAATTAATCATTTATTAATCATTTTTTATTTAGTAACTGTAGTGTGATATATATGTACGTAGCTCAGGAAAGGGAAGCAATGGATTTACCAAGAGGTATTTTAATGCGGCATGGATTGCTTTTTTCCTGGTTTTTCGCTCTGATTGCTCATTTATGTCAAAGAATGCTCCATGAATTTGCTACATAGGTACTTTATATTTAATAATTATAATTGCCTGTCGAAAGGACTTCAGTTGATTGAAATAGACAGTTTGTCTGAATGAATTCATTCAAAATAGACAGGTTATCATATTTAAAGAATTAACGCTATGAAATGTCTAGATGGTTAACTTGTAGAGCATACTTTAAAAAACTGAGTGAGCTTTATCGCATTAAAATAGGTAGAGAATTACAGACTTCTTGGAAAATCTATTGCTACTTTAAAGTTTTTCTGGGACACTGGCACACCAAGTTTTTTGTAGAGAAACATGTACGTCTATTAAGCATCTACCTAGGAGATTGTAATGTACGGGAAAGGTCTTAAGAAACCTGCGAACAAATCGGCTCCCTTGACCACAACCAAAAGCTGAGGTTGACTGGACCAAGTTTGGACAGTGGACCAGGAATATTCCTCACCTAATAGACCTCTCAAACATAGATCTCGAGACAGGCTATGAGCAATTCACAGAACACATTCTCGATTCTGCGGAAAGAACCGGGGCTCGCCGAGCGGGTGGTAAATTACGTAACCTTATGGTTCCTCCAGCCCCGTGGTGGAATTCCGAATGCCGTAAGGCGCTTGCAGAAAGGAAGTCTGCTTTTGCCAAAATCAAGAAGCATCCCACAGAGCAAAATGTGAATCTATACAAAGAAAAATTAAAAAAGTCAAGATTAATATTCTATAAAGAACGTAAGAAGAGTTTTAGATCCTTCTGTAACTCTATTAACAATCAGATGGACCCTGCAAAAATGTGGAACGTTATTAAGTCATTCAAATCTAGATCCCTGGGTTCTCAATCTTCTAGTCATGAGGATTTTAACCCAGCAGCTTTGAATTTCGTGGACAAAATAGCTCCTCCATCTATCCTAATTCCTCCTTCTCCATCCATTATAGCGGGTCCTACATTAGAAATTTTCTCGAGCATACGCCTGGAAGAATTAACTTCGGCCATTAATAAAATTAAAGTTAAATCTGCAGCCGGTCCCGATCTTATTAGTAATCGTATGATCAAACAGCTTCCCGTGGAAGCCCTCGAGAAACTCTGTGAATTGTTTGATGGATTTTTTAAATGCGGTCGTATTCCATCAATCTGGAAAAAGTTCAATGTCATTCTCCTACCTAAACCGAACAGTGATAGTTTCAGGCCGATTGCACTTTCTTCTTGCCTCCTTAAAGTCTTTGAAAGGATATTATTAACAAAAATGGAATGGTGGATTGAAAATTGTTCACTAATTCCCAAAATTCAGTTTGGTTTTAGAAAGGGCAGATCCTGTATGGATAACTTGGCCATCCTTAGCTCGGACATTTACCTTTCCTTTGCTAGAGGGGAAACTCTGGGAGCTGTTTTCCTGGACCTGGCGGGAGCATATGATAATGTGCTTCCCCACATCTTAGTCCGTGAGCTGAATGACATAGGCCTTCCGTCCAATATTGTTTCTTGTATTTCGTCCATTCTTAATTCTCGCAGTGTAGACTTCTACAAGTATTAAAAGCAAAAAAGCAAAAATCGGCCTCCTCACGAGACGCTACTGCTACTCTTATTGACGCCAAGTTCGCGCTTTTTCGTCTGCTACGATGAAATAACTTGAATTATCTGCGGGTATATGTCGTGGGCGAAAAATGTGTCAGGTCCAATATTTTTCTTTTTTTTTTTTTTTAAAATGAGCCTTTGCCCAATAAAATCGGTTCCCGCAATGCTGATATCTGGCATTTTAGCAATATCAGTCGAAAAATTTTTCTCAATTTGTAAAATTTCTCAATTTTCTCACACAATCTTAAAAAATTTGTCCCCTCGCATATACGTATGAGCTTCGACGCGACACAGGCATAACGATTCGAGACGCGCATGCGCAACGAGCCATTGAACACGTGTAGTCTTCTGTTTATATGGCCTCAGCTGTTGGCTACTATCTTAACCTGTCTCTTCATGAAAAAATTCAGTCATTTCATGATTTGATTGTTTCATTACCGCTTTACCGGTTAATTAATCATTTATTAATCATTTTTTATTTAGTAACTGTAGTGTGATATATATGTACGTAGCTCAGGAAAGGGAAGCAATGGATTTACCAAGAGGTATTTTAATGCGGCATGGATTGCTTTTTTGCTGTTTCTTCACTCTGATTGCTCATTTATGTCAAAGAATGCTCCATGAATTTGCTATATAGGTACTTTATATTTAATAATTATAATTGTCTGTCGAAAGGACTTCAGTTGATTGAAATAGACAGTTTGTCTGAATGAATTCATTCAAAATAGACAGGTTATCATATTTAAAGAATTAATGCTATGAAATGTCTAGATGGTTAACTTGTAGAGCATACTTTAAAAAACTGAGTGAGCTTTATCGCATTAAAATAGGTAGAGAATTACAGACTTCTTGGAAAATCTATTGCTACTTTAAAGTTTTTCTGGGTTAAGGACACACAACGTAACACCACTCTGTCTTATTCATGACTAAGCTGGACTATTCATTTTTCAGCGGATACATAATGTATCCTGTCTACGATGGCTTTTGGTATTCCATAGTTCAGCACCGGTAGGGTGCTGGAGACCAACTTTCTGACAATAACCATCACTTTTGCTTAACACCAGAAAAAAAAGTATAAGTAATTGAAAATGACTGGACGCAAGAGTCAATTTGCTTGAGACTAGGATTTAAATTGTATTTCACCTTCTGCTCGGCAAATTCATTGCATTTGATACTTTTTTCTTAGCGTTGAGTAAATCAAGAACATTACAGTCCAGAGTAGTTCAAATAAACATGTCGTCTACAAAAATATGAGCTTTTCTATTATTCATCTGTATAGTATACAATGCTGGCATAATGAGATAACGTTGCGTAAGATTCTTTTACGCGTCTCTAGATTTTATCATCCCAGTGCCTATAACCAGGCTGTTCAAGCGTTTTAGCTGCTATCTCATCAAATGTTATTTTTAACCCTAGTTTCAATTAATCCTCGTAACCCGTGCTCAACCCCAGCACTTGAGATAACGTTGCGTAAGATTCTTTTACGCATCTCTAGATTTTATCATCCCAGTGCCTATAACCAGGCTGTTCAAGCGTTTTAGCTGCTATCTCATCAAATGTTATTTTTAACCCTAGTTTCAATTAATCCTCGTAACCCGTGCTTAACCCCAGCACTTATCTCTGTCTCTATCTCTGTCTCTCTCTCTCTCTGTCTCTCTCTCTCTCTCT